AATTTTGGACGAGTAAAAAAATCGGATTTAAAAATCGTCCAATCAAAATTTAGACTAAAAAATTTTAATTTCTGCTCAGATTTAAGGATTTAAAAAAAAAATTAAAACTTGAATTATTAAGCCAAATTAAGGTAAATTTAAAACTAAATTTGGCCTAATTTAAAGAAAGAGAATTAAATCGAAAATTTTAATTTCGATCCCCCTTTTAAATGCCTGGTTTTTAATTTTTAATGCCCTTTTTTTAACTCCCAAATTTAATTTTTTATCCCATTTTCATCATTTTTTTTATTAAAACGATCGAAAAATAAAAGAAAATTTGGTTCTAAAAATCTAAATTTTTTCCCCTAAAATATAGCGCAAAATCTGGATAAAATCTCTAAAATCCANTTTAATGCCCTTTTTTTAACTCCCAAATTTAATTTTTTATCCCATTTTCATCATTTTTTTTATTAAAACGATCGAAAAATAAAAGAAAATTTGGTTCTAAAAATCTAAATTTTTTCCCCTAAAATATAGCGCAAAATCTGGATAAAATCTCTAAAATCCAGACTAGAAAAATATATATAAAAAAGTTATTAATTTCTTTACAGAGCTCTCTCTATAGAGTTTATATTGTACTTGGCCTGGTTCCTGGATTTAAATAGGGAAATGAATAAATCGAGATTTGTGTCCCGATCTTCCTCCACGTCTTTAAGTAGAATTTTTAATTAATTCGCCGATGCGACCTTCGTCAAAATAAAAACATCAATTATAAACAATTACTTACACCAGGAACTAGGAAATCGAACAACTTAACTGAACAGTAATTAAGATCGGACCGAAACTGCTAATCTGTTATTATCTGCAGTTTGAAGTTAAAAATAATTTTTCCACAATAAAATACTTTTTGCTTTAATGATTCGAATATAAATTGCTGTATATGATACAGGAAAACCTTTAGATATTAATCATTTTTTATTTGTTTCTTAATGGTACATAGAATGGACTGTTGGTAATATGCTAATTCACTATTAAATTTTTCTTTTTCCTAATTTAATTATTTTAAAAAAATAATATTGTCGAGTGTTATAATAATGATTTTTAATATATTTCTAATAATAAAATTTAAAATAAACTAATAACTTGAGTTTAAAATGAGTGTTGATGTAACTGTAATCGTGTATAACCCGCACTTCTTTATTCTTATAATTGTTAATTAATTTAAAAAATATACGAATTTAAATGATTTTATTAGTCTTTTATAATTATATATTGTTTAATTATAACGAAAACGGTAAGATAATTTGTAAAATTTTTGCTGATTTAATTGTTTACGCTGGGCGAATAGTTCGCATCATTCTCGTTATTTAATTAAATAATTCGTTGTAGATCTGGAAATTTTTAGATGGAGAAAAACGTGCTATTTTAAGGGTGTAGATCTTAGTTAATTTAGAGTTTATATCTGAGATAAAGTGATTTCTTTGTTTCTTTAACTAGGCGCAGTGCAAGATTCTAATCAGGAAAGTTTGTTTCTCTTTAGAATCTAAAGAGAAGCGTCCTAAAATTTTTCGAAAATACTCTCTGGTTTGTTTGAGGGGGACGAAAAAAAGAAAGAAAGAAATGGAAGGTGTCCATGCTCGAATGATCTCATTCAACTTAAAACAAATAAGGTGAAAACGACAGCAAATGGTGCCAAGTCGAAAAAGTTTTCCATTGAAAATAGTGGAAGTCGATACGCTAATAGAATGGCAACAAGCCCTACTCGACGATTCCTATTTTCGACAACAAATTTTGTGTTAAAATTCATCAACAGTTGGAGGAATAAGAGATTATCTGTTTCCTACATAATTGTCTCGATACAAATAGTCTCGTATCTCGGATAATAAATTAGCAAAATCAATGTGTGTGTATAGGAAATCTGTCCAATGAAAACATGGTTCCTATGAACCGACAGGTCTTATCCAACATTGTTATCTTCGACAGTACAAAAGGAAGAAGTTTTTTAAATTTCTGATATCCCAACTCAGTCTTTCCGGATCATTAAAAACTAATCAATTTTGACAACGATCATTATGACGTGCGAGGTTTTTTTACTGTTCCTTCAACCCCCTATTCCAGTATAGTTTTATTATTACTCCTGATATACTTTTTTGTAATTTTTGTGGCGACAGAATTCGTTGTGTCTTTCGTTCCCCCACCCTGGTCTCTATTATGGTAAAAGTCATTTGCAATATCCACTTTTAATTTCTGTTCTGGCATATTTTTTTTCTTCTTCTCCCACCATCTTGTTCGTCCCCCTTCTCCCTTTTTAGCAGTTTCAACCACAACCCATATGTTATGTTCCACCATCTTACCGGGGTAAAAATCTTATTATTTATATAATTTTTTTATCGATAACGCGCGCACACTTTTTCCCCCTCTTGCCAAACTTTTATCAATTTTCTAATTGTGTTCTGATGAAGTATTTTCGCGCCTTCTTTTTTAAATATGTATAACTCTTTCCCGTCTCGAAGATTGGCATCTAGCGTGGTTTGGATGCGAGTTTTGGGCCGTTTGAAAATTTTTACAACCCCCTTTCTCCTACGGATATTTCACTTTATACGAAGAAATTGGCGGGACCTGTTTGATGTATGACAAGTAATGATGTATATAAGGCCAGTCTAATGGCTGCTTCTGTAATCAAACAGTCGTTACCGAAAACACAGCTTAACCAATCATTGGCTAGTCACAGCTTGGAAGAAAGCCAAAGAGTTGAATTTTCTTAATTTTTCTTTAATTGCAACTTGTGTGTTGTGGCTAAACAACAAACTAGATTTATTTCCAGGTGTTTTAAATTCATTTCTTTTTACGTTACTCTAGTAATTTAACCACTCTTTCTCCCACTCTCTCGCTCTTTAAGAATTTTTATTGGAATGCTATTTTTTTTATTTTATTTTTTTTTTCCTACATAAAAACACCCTCTTTCGTCCCTTCCGAGTTAGAATAAGACATCCTTTCCAGAAATATTCTCAGCAGTACAGCGTATTATAAAGAGTAAGAGAAGGGAGCGGAGGTCAAAGATATAAATATTATTATTCAGAGCCAAAGTTTGGGAGTTAGTGGGGAGGTTGCAAACCCTTTAGATTCCATTTATGTTCCGTGTTTCTGTTTGTGTCCACCAGGAGGCATTCGCCATTAGGATCGGCGTCTAAGACTCGGGGTGTCATTTATAACTGTCATGTTTCCTTCATCAACCCTTCTTGAAAACTCCTATTTCTTTGGCATCCATTAAGATCGTCGAATTCCAATTATAAGTTTGAATAGATTTGAACAAAATACAAAGAATCGGCCCGGTTTTTTTTTACCACTTTCCAAGTTATTTATTATTATTATTATTATTTTAAACAAATTCCATCTTTCCGGTAAATGCAATCGAAAGTTTTGTCGAAATAAAGCAAACTTCTGTTGGAAAAATTTAAGAATTTTTGGCGTAGTAAATTAGCTGAATGGAAAAATTTTCCTATTTAATTCAAAACTTTCAACTAATGTAAGACCAGATGGATAAATATATAAGAAGGAATAACGCATCAATTGCCATGAATATAGGGCAATGAATCAGGACGTTGGGAATGAAAATTTAATATTCCGAACGACACGTGAAAGAGATGGCGACAGAATAAGTCTGTCATTAAAATGAATAATAAAGATTTATCAGTGGATGCAATCGACTTTTTCCATTTATTAAAAGTGTCAAATAGGAATAATAAAGCCGCATCTCCCAACAATCCGACTGAAAACATTCATCACAACAATAAAACTTGGCTAAATCAATTTTCTAAACTGCAGAATTCACATCAAATCGCTATTAGCTTCTGGAAACAATAGCAGCAAACAGCGCACACACAAGTCGTCATTTCATTCTTTCTTTCTTCACTTTTATTTTCAAACTACTCCGAACCTGGGTGTATCATTTGTTCCAAGTATCGTGTCCCGGTGTCAAATTTGGTTAGATGTACCTTCTTTTTTTTTGTTTTCTTATACAGTTTTTTTTTCCTTCTTTTTATCCTCGCACCTTGTGTTGATTTTCGGCTTCTGACTATGACCTACAATCTCATATATAAGAGTTCGCCCCCTTAGACTCGACTGCGCTTCGGCATTGCATTGCCAAGAAGATTCGATGGAAGAGCCTGAAAGAGAAAGAGTGGGGTGGAAAAAAAATCCTCACTCAACGTTCATCAATCAAAGTCACAGACGCGCCCACTGCCAACGTCACATCGGACTTGGCATTTATTCTCTCTCTACAGTATCATGTAAATCTCCCTACAGACTTGGCAAACTCCCACCAAAACTTTAGCTCTTTTTCGCAACCCCCCACAGGACACAATTATGTACATCCTCGCATACATAGGTCCGCGTTAATGTTCGACAAAGTTTTGTTACCGAATTCGCTAAGGTGCTGGCATGCCCGATGATTAGTTTCTTCGGACTAGATCGGGATTAACTTTTACATATTTGCATACATCGGGCCATATATCGGCGTATATGGTGCCGCCTTACAATATGACAACGACTTATACGCCGCTTTGTACGTAATTAAACGTTTTTAATGCATACTTCGCATTACTTTCTTATTCGAAAGGGAATAATAATAATTTATAAAGTGGTATTCAATATAGAAACATTAGAATAATTATGTTGCTCTGATTAGATAATGGGCGAATTATTTTATTATCCTCGTTTAAACTAATTATGTACTCTTGACATCTTTCTAGACTCGTCATCGCTCCATTATAACGTTTTTATTCCCGAATTTTTAGCATAATAAGCGAATTAATCCGAAATCTCGTTACAGTTCGAAACCTTAGCATGAATAATGAATATTTTTTAAAGACTCTAATCAATCTTCTTCACCTACAAGCGGTCGCCATCTGGTGTGAGAAGATGGCATTAACGTTTCTTGTGTTTTTTAAACACTAACGACAATAAAAAATTTTTTTTAAATAATTTATTTCTCCGTTTATTTAAAAAAAATACATCCGGTGCTTTAAATTAAATAAATATAATTCCTATATTAATAAATACAATAATTTACAAATAGCGTAAATTCCGCTTATTTATTTTTATTCTTGTATAGTTTGCTCTTATAAACATCCCTGATATTTAATATATTCAACTTTTCTTTTTTTTTCAATCTTCAAGAAAGATCGGCCTTAGCATCTTAATGGCACCAATTCTCCTCTCTCCACGTTTAAAATCTCGGATAAAATTCTCTTCTTGCGGCTAACTGGGTGAGTTGTTATTATTATTCCCGATTCGGAAAATGATCGTTCGAGAATATTTTTCTTATATTTGTTCTCTTTCTCGATTTTTAAATTGACCTGAAAGAGTAAAACGATAATAAAGAAGATTAATAATAAATCTTCTAAACGCCAGATGGCAGCAGATTTAAAATTATTCGATAAGTGCTGCCAGACGAAATGATATTCTGTACCTGATTTTGCTGATGGGCCACTTCTCCGACGTTGAGAAGAGCTGTTGCTGTCTGAGTGACCAAAGTCCAGCTGCGAAGTATATCTTCTTCTTCCATGCTAGGTCCATTGATACATAATCTGATAACGTATTTTCCTTTCAGGACTGCGGGAACGGCGAAAAAGTTGCCGGAATTATTTAAAAAGTACAATAAAGTTTCGGTCAGATGATTCGGACCCTAAAAAAATACGTTTAAAAAATATTATTATCGATCTTAAACTCTTTTGATGCGATTATAATTTAATAGATATTTAAATTACCTTTAATCTGAAGCAAATTAAACCAGTTTGTACTTCGTTCATGACTTCGAATCGTTCATCTTCTCTTATCCAATTTTCCATAGTTTTAGCTAATTTCACATGCTAAAAATTTAATTTTAATATATTAAATAAATTTTTATATATTAAATTAAAGAATGTTTAATTTAAATAACTTTATGTCTTACATTTCTGATATGATCTTGAAGTTTTTCGATACCGAACTTCCTGATAACAAACCATATTTTTAAGGAGCGGAATCGTCTACTTAACGGTATACTCCAGTTCTGTAATCAGAAAAATTCGTAAATATTTAAACATAAGGAATTTATATATTTATAATTTTAGATAAATAAATATTTTAAAAAATGCTTACCCTGTAATCTACTGATACGTCTGGAAGGAAAAATAAAAAATAAAAAAAGTTAATAACAGAAAATTAATAAACTTTTATATTTTTATCTGCCAGATGGCACCACTTTATGCAGGAATAAAACTTACTGGATTGGTTGTGTTGAAGATAAATAGGATCAACTGTCAGCGGCTCCATTAAGTGCGTTTTATTTTTGACCCTGAACAAAAATAAAAAATGATTCACGTTTATTAAATAATAAATGAAAAACGATAAGAAAATTTAATAAAACTAAGATAAAAACGAAATGTTAAATTATTTCATATTCTTGCCACTAGATGACACCGTAAAACAACTTATTTATTTATTTTAATTCTTTATATCTAAAAACAGAACATTTCTTTTGATAAATTTCAAATACTTACCACATAAGAGAACAATCCAAATTTACCAATAGCCATTTGTGTAAGTTTACATTAAAAGAACTGGCATACTGTTAGGAAAAAAAAAAGTAATTTAAAATGTTTGCTTTCTTGAAGGATGTGTACTTGAAATTTAAATATTTTATTTAACTTACTTCTAAGCCTTGAGAAAGATAACGAAATTCCGGACATATCAAGGCATTTCCTGCATAAGCTGCATCTACATGCAACCAGATATCGTGTTCTTCGCACAAAGGTCCTAATTCGGTTAAGTCATCGAACGAACAGCAAGAAGTAGTACCCAATGTAGCTGATACCTAAAAAAAATAAGAGAATAAATAAATAAAGAAATTCGTTTATAAAAATTTGTGTTGATAAAACATAATCCAATGAGGCGATTCTTTAATTATAATCCAATTTCGAAGGTATCGAAAAAAATATGGGGCTTAAGAAACGAGTTCGTTTCGAATTTCTTTTTATCTAACTTCAATATTATCGAAAGCAGTTTTTGTTTATCTAAAGTTTAGTATTCATTAAGAACTTTCTTTTTTTTTCAAAAAATCAAGTAATGTGGTTAAAGAGATGCCAATAATTACAAATAATACTTACGAAAAATGGTGTTAATCCTTGTTCTTGATCCTCCTACATAAGAAAAGAAAGTTGTTAGAAATATTTTATGATTTTTTTCTTAATTAAAAGTTTTAATCTTATTCTTAAAACGTATATAAAAAGAATTATTACCTTGATGGCTTCAGCTAAGATGCCACCCCTTAATCTGTAATTTTCATCTGTTTCTAGGCGTCGTATCTTTACGAAACCGATCATGGCGGCTTTTTCTACGCACGAGTGAGCCTAAAATGAAAAATAATTGTTGAAAATTTATATTTTTTTTAAGAAATTATTTCTAAAATATAGAAGAAGAGATATATAAATATACATACTTCTTGCGAAGTGTAAGCTACTAATTTCGATAACAAAATCGTTTCATCTACTTTTGGATTTTGTTGTTTTAACTCCTTCAGTTTCTTATGACGTGCCGCTAGAAGACAAACTAAAACACATTCACTGGCCGAACCCTATTTAAAAAATTTTAAATTAACTTCATGCATATTTACTTTATTATAGGCTATATTTAAAAGAATAAACATCAAAGTTTTCTGTAGATTTACCTGTATGACACCACCGCCTAAGCTATCAGAAGAAAATAAAAATTCATCCTGTAATCCTAGCATTTTACCTATATGAAAGTTTAAAAAAATAGTTAAATTATTTATTTAAAAAAATCCACAGTATCTACTTATAACAGTTCATTTAAAAATCCTACCAATCCAATTCATCATTACAACTTCCAATTCAGTAAAAGCGGGGCAGGCAACCTATACGAATTTTTAATTAAAAAAATTATTTAATATTTTATTAAAAGTTTCAATGAAAGAATTAAAAGGAAAATAATCAGCTAATATAACTCACCCAACTAAATCCAACAGCTCCAAAGGCTGATGCTAACATATCTCCCAGTATTGAAGGATAGCTGTTACCACAAGGAAAATAAGCGTGGAATTGAGGATGCTGCCAATGGGTAATCTATCGAAACAAATGTATTTTTTAAAAAAATTATCAATAAAGACTATTCGAGCGTTGGTTTAATGTGTTTAAATTAGGCTACTTACACCGGGCATGATGTAATTTTGTACATCCGCCATAATTTTTGCCCAATCTTCTCCATCTTTAGGTGCCGATTCTGGTAGATAAGTGGTAAGATATCCCGGTTCCACATCTGCTTTAACGCGTAAAGTGTGAACGTTTTGTCTATAGCTAACGATACATTCGGCAAGTTGTTTGCTCCTAAGTTGAAATTCTAAAGAGTCCATAGCTAAATATTAAAAAAAATTTCAATTATAAAAGGTTAATTAATTAATAAAATAGTATAATACTTATTCTAGTCCATTGGTAATGTATAATGCTTACCTGTCTAGTCTACTAGTACAATACAACTTGAAGAATACTATTACTTGTGTACGTATGCTTAAATGGTATTTTATATATATTATGGCTGCATAGGTAAACGTGACGTTGCATGACGTTGAAGTGTGACGTTACGCAGGATATATTGAGTAAAGAAATTAAAGAGAAATCGAATGTAAAAATCTGTAAGAGCGGAAATGGAATTTTCCAAGGAATACTTTCCGAGGTAAAGTTACAATTTAAAAAAAAAGTAAGTAGTATAAAATTTATAAAACATGTATAAATATAGACGAAAAATTAAAGGTTTTCCGTAGTTTTTACGAACATTTCAAAGTTATGTCGGGAAGAAAATGCGAGTCATTTCAAACGTCATAAAGGATGAAGGATTATCTACAGTCTACAAATAAACATTTTTAATCATTAAATTCTATCTAATTCTATCTAATGACATTTTTACACAAAAATAATACTTTTCCAATGAATAAAAAATATTTTTAAAGCTCAATTTTATTTATTATAATACAAAATATAAGTAATAAATATATAATTTTTCATATTTAAGTATCATGGCGCGCATCTAAAATTTGCAAAATGAATAAAACTAATTAATTTTACAAATAAAATATATATATTATAAAAGCCAAAACATGGCATTTTTAATCAGTTTATAGCATAATTGATAGTACATTTTTTTTAATTTAAAGATATAAACAGTTATAGTGTATAATATATACTGTATTTCCGTTTAAAATAAATATTTCTAAATATAGAATAAGTCCTAAATTTCTAAATATAGAATGTATATTTGTCTGGTTTATTGTAACATAAATACAAATTAATTAAAAATTTACATAATATTTCAACGGAATTGAAATCAAACATTGTTTTTTTAAAAAAAAAAAATTTAGTTCACGGCCATATAATAGCGGGCATTATCCGATTTTAACCCACAAAATCGCATTCATTGCATTTGCAAGATACAAAATCTCGGCGATAAATAAATATTTAACTTGCCGTCTGGTTTATAATTTATTCGATTAATGGGAAAGAATAACAATTAGTAAATTATTCAGTTTTAATGGCGGAATGAATTTTATTAAACAAATTTCATTAGATCAGTATTATTCTGGGAAAAATATCTTTATAAAACTCATTAGAAATTTGAAAATAATTCATAATAAAGATCGATTTTTAAATCGTAACGAAAGTGAGCGATTGGTTAAACTTTTTCAAGTTTAACCAATCGCTTTAAAGAAATGGTTTTACGTATTTTAAAATTTGAACATTTGAAAATTTAAAAATATAGGCCTATATAATTTTTACTTAAAAAGACACGTTTAATTAACTACTTCGCAAATAATATATTAATATATTATTTACATTTTTATTTTAATCAAATAACGGTAATTCAGTTTTCGCTATTTTGTCGTTTTGGCCATATTCATTAATATTCACGTTTCTATTAGTAACGCGACTGCGCAGTAACAATTTTGAGATAACAGACGACTATTTTTATCTTCCATTTTGTTTTATTTATTTATTTATTTATTTTAATTATTTGATTATTTTCTTCGTTTATACAATTTAATTATCGATTTTTGAAAAAATTTTGAAAGAATTTAGTTTATTTTTATTTTAATGTTTATATATAAACACGATTTGAAATTTAAATTACGTAATTTTCCCACTGGCCAATCAAAATAGTTATTATTCAAAACACAATTTTCATTGTGAATTACACTAGGCCTTCAATTTAACGCATTCCGATTTAGCGCAATTCGGATTTAACAGACGAAAAGATTTAAATTTTTTTTTTTTATATATTCACAAATATATATATAAAACACAAAATATATCCATTAAAAGACAGGCCAACAGGTCAATGAGTATAAATTATCCAATGTACAGTATAGTACATTATTATAATATTTTATTCAGAATTATACGTTATAACAATTGTATATAATGAATTCGTGTATTGTATTTAATGGACTTTCGGTAATAATGTTAAATAGAGGTCCTACTGTAAAATTTTCCATATATTTAAATTATATAATGCCGATAAACATTTTAAAGTACTGTACAGTACATTAACATACAATTGGGAATTATGAAGCTTACTCAATGTCCAGGAAATGTTTTCGTATCAATATTTCCGGCGGTGATCTTTGATTCCATCCGCTGAAAATTCGTTTTAAATATTGAGAAATGTCTAAATTACTATTTATATTTATAAGAATTTCATTTAATTGTAAAGTTATTTATAAAAATTTTTAGAGAGAGAAAAATTTTTACCGTGATTAATGATCGACTTCCTTTGTCGATCCATCTGAAGAGTGGATAGTGACAAACAAGAGCCGTGTTGTCCACCCATCGCAATATTGATACCCGCAAAACAGCGAGATAAATCTCCTTTCAACAGCCAGGGTGGAGCAGCCCGAACAGATTAAGCGTATTTCCTCCAAACGAAATGAAATATCTTTAATTTAATCACTGTACGTCTGTAAACCGCGTATCAAACTGTTGATTCTTATCGTTTAAGACGTTTTCTCCACTTTTACATGCGGAAGAATTAAATAATGCCATTTTTTCCTGCTCCTTTGTTATCAATATTGGAATATGTATCGAGTTAAATTTTTTTTTCCGAAAATTTATTGTATTTTTATAATTTTTTTTTATTAAGATGTACTTTTGAATAACATATTTTCATTTGTAAATAATACAAATCCAAATATATAATAATTTATACTGAATAAGTATAAATAAGTATAAATAAGTATAAGATTATCCGATAAAACTTGAAAGAACAATCGATATATGATACGTCACTATTATTAATACAAGGCGTAGGTGTACTTTACCATAAAATATATTTACGATACATCGATACACCGTTTAATTTATATGATTCGGCATTTACGTTAAAAAGAAGAAACGTTACAGTCTGTTGAGTGGGAGGAAAATAAACTACTTCCATTACTAGAAAAATATAATTGAGTTGCTATCTTATTCATCAAAGGTGTTACTTCCTTTAAAACAGCCTATGTTGAATAACTATACTTCCTCTATTTTTTTTTTATCTAGGAAATACACTTATTTCATCAGTAAATACTTATCCTACTGTTAAAATAACTTAATAAATAATTTTTAAATATGATCCATTCTCTGAATATTAATTAGAACTCGAACTCTTTACGTATTTGATGGGAAACTATCTATTGTGTAGTGTAGTGTTTCCAACAGTGCAAATCTTGTGTGAAAATTTGTATTGTATTTCCTAATTATTGTTAATACAAACATTATATTAAAAAAGTTCTATGTAATTTACTATGTAAGTTACTATCGAAACTCCTCAAATCGATTTACTGTATTAAATTGAATTTTTTTTTCTTTAATGACAAAGCTAGAAAACTAAACTCACGAAAACCACAAAATATACAGTTGCTACATCGTAAAATTTACAAAAAAGTTACCAATATTCTTATTACTAATGAAAGGATACCATTTTAAAGGAGTGTATTTCCGGTGTTAGAGTAATGTTTACAGATTACATTTGTGCTACATGTGAAATTATTGATAAATACTAATGTAAACAAAGAATATTTGCTCAAGTTTTTCCTATGTTTTAGTCATATAAATACATAAAAAATAAATAAATGAAATTTCATTTTTTCTTTCGAAATAATAATATTTAATATACACTAAATAGATTCTAGAGAATCCAGAAAGGCATGATGAGTCGAATGCTTATCCCTAAGGCCAATTTTTTCTCTCGAGTTTTGTATTACAGAAGCCTTTTAAATAGGTTTTTTTTTTTATCAGGCCTAATGTTATGTAATTGCTGTTATGAGGATTAAATCGGAAAGTTTAATTTTATTAAACTAAATTGTAGTAATGTAGTTTACAAAATGAAGCTTGTGATATTTATTAATTACAGAGTAATTATAGACTCTATAACTGTTTAAATATTAAAACATCTACAGAACTTAACACCAGTTAATAATATTAGGAAGGTGATGCTTTTTTAGGTTATGTACCTTTTGACTCAAAACATAAGTTAGAAAACTTATGTTTTGACAGATACACGTGCCAAATGATGCGGCCCAAAGTACCCATTGATGCAACCCAATGTAAATGACGCAAACTGTCCATGATGTCATTGCAAAAAATTAATTCTCATCATATATTTATAGCAATTACATTGTTGTATTATTAACGGATAAGAACAAATTTAAATTATACAGTAACACCTTTCAAATAACGTAAATGATAAAATATATAGGCCTAAATCTGTTTTAATCATTTCATTTAATATTAGTAAATGTTAAAATATTACACAAAACTTTCATATTTTTACTATTAACCTTGACCTATTCGTTACAAAATAAAAAAAAATTGCTAGAAGAATAATATTTTGTTTGTAACATTCAATATCAATAAATCACAACTCGGACAATTGCTACCTAATCAGTGACATCCAAAGATGATAAAGTGCACCAAAGGAGGAGCATATATATTAACCAAGCGTGTTTTCCACCAATGGAGGGAAACGGGGGACCGGGAGGGGTGGAGACTTTTACACACACTCTTAATGGGCCATCCTAGGGTGACCCTAACCATCCTAGATACATTTTCGACTCTTTCTGGTACTTTTGTCATGAAAAAAAATGGCTAACGTTCGACCAATTTTTGGAGGTTATCCCTTTCAAGGTAAGAGATATCTTGCAAAGAATTTTTCTGTAAAAAATCCCTTCTGATACCAAGTTATAAAAACTGCTTCAACAAACAAAAAAAAGAAAAATTGATTTTTTTAGTATGGTGCAATCTTTGATTCATTCATCTCAATGTAAAAGAAACTAAGATTTGTGCATTTATACATGTAAAAAATTTGGGTATTTTATAGTAAACCATAGTTTTTAATGGGAAGGATATTAAAATCCTTTGAAAACTTTCATCAAAGATCTGGATATCGCTATTCCCACGATCAACAGATGGAAACGTTTAGCATTTCATTTACTTGAAAGGAACTCAAACAGAGTTCATTTAGAATTCCCACTTCTCTTTAAATAAATCTATTTAACAATTAGTCTAAATTCCTATTGCACACATGTGTGAAAAGCGATTGGATTCACAAGTCAATAAGAAGTTGATTCTTTACACGAGTCTTTAAGCCTAATTTAAGCCTATTATTCAATGAAGAATCCATCATTTTTAATGTTTGGTGCAAGTTATTCCTGTATATAAATTAAATTTTAGAAGTTTTTTTTTAGTTTACAACTTAATGTTTATTGTGATTGCTATTAATATCAGTTAATATTTGTATTTTGAACAGGCCAGGGTCGAGTCAATCAATTGGGTGGTGTATTCATAAATGGACGGCCTCTTCCAAATCATATCAGACTTAAAATTGTTGAAATGGCAGCTGCTGGGATAAGGCCTTGTGTTATTAGTCGCCAGTTGCGTGTGTCTCACGGATGTGTCTCCAAAATTCTTAATCGATATCAGGTGAGTGTCTCTTACAATTACTACTGCTACTGTACTTTATTAGTAGCATACTAATTACCGTACTCACACTTAGGTGCCAATATCTAAGAAGCGTTTTATTTTCCGGTAAACACAAATTTTAACCATTTTCATATTTATCGCATGTAATTTCACTGTAAAACTATAAATAACTTTCATTCTGCGAAGAATTAAGAATTCCATTATTAACACGTGAAGGGAAAAAATCTAACATTATTTAAAGATGAAAATAGTTAGAACAATCGTATAAAATTACTCCCGAGTTTTACAATATTTTTATATAAAACTAAACGAATTTATCATTTCTGTAATCGATTAGAAAGCATTTAAATTTATTTAACTTACACGCCTGCAATTGCATATAAATTATCTTCTAAATGATACAGGATCTTATAATTAGGAAGATAAATTCATCCTAATGGCATAGAATAATCAAATCGGATGTAAGAATATTAACAAGAGACAAAATTTGTAAATATTTTATATTTATCACGAATCAATTTTCTATCATCGGGTTGCAGAAGACTTTCACAACTATCAATATTTATGATCCATTGATTTCAATGGCTTCAAATTTACTCGTATCGTAATAATTTGTACGCTTTCAGCAATTTAAAAGAGTTATTCACTATTAAATATAAATAAAGTATATCAAATGACATATTGATCATTCTTAATAAGTTCGATTGAAGATTTAGCTTTTTAAAACTAACAAGTAAGAGTTTTATTATTACAATGTTCAATAGAAATTAAGACATTAAAAACTGATAGATAAAATGAATTTATATGTTTCTTCTTCGTTATTTAAATTAAATTACGTCAAAACGTAGAAAATTCTGCTTTTCGTACTTTCGTAAACATCTTTAGAATAAATGAGACAACAGCTATTGTGCGCTTAATAGATGCTTACATTAAATTTATATACCGTGATAAATATGCTTACATTGTTAAAGTGTTCATGCGTTCAATCNATAAAAAATAAAAAAAGTTAATAACAGAAAATTAATAAACTTTTATATTTTTATCTGCCAGATGGCACCACTTTATGCAGGAATAAAACTTACTGGATTGGTTGTGTTGAAGATAAATAGGATCAACTGTCAGCGGCTCCATTAAGTGCGTTTTATTTTTGACCCTGAACAAAAATAAAAAATGATTCACGTTTATTAAATAATAAATGAAAAACGATAAGAAAATTTAATAAAACTAAGATAAAAACGAAATGTTAAATTATTTCATATTCTTGCCACTAGATGACACCGTAAAACAATTTATTTATTTATTTATTTATTTTAATTCTTTATATCTAAAAACAGAACATTTCTTTTGATAAATTTCAAATACTTACCACATAAGAGAACAATCCAAATTTACCAATAGCCATTTGTGTAAGTTTACATTAAAAGAACTGGCATACTGTTAGGAAAAAAAAAAGTAATTTAAAATGTTTGCTTTCTTGAAGGATGTGTACTTGAAATTTAAATATTTTATTTAACTTACTTCTAAGCCTTGAGAAAGATAACGAAATTCCGGACATATCAAGGCATTTCCTGCATAAGCTGCATCTACATGCAACCAGATATCGTGTTCTTCGCACAAAGGTCCTAATTCGGTTAAGTCATCGAACGAACAGCAAGAAGTAGTACCCAATGTAGCTGATACCTAAAAAAAATAAGAGAATAAATAAATAAAGAAATTCGTTTATAAAAATTTGTGTTGATAAAACATAATCCAATGAGGCGATTCTTTAATTATAATCCAATTTCGAAGGTATCGAAAAAAATATGGGGCTTAAGAAACGAGTTCGTTTCGAATTTCTTTTTATCTAACTTCAATATTATCGAAAGCAGTTTTTGTTTATCTAAAGTTTAGTATTCATTAAGAACTTTCTTTTTTTTTCAAAAAATCAAGTAATGTGGTTAAAGAGATGCCAATAATTACAAATAATACTTACGAAAAATGGTGTTAATCCTTGTTCTTGATCCTCCTACATAAGAAAAGAAAGTTGTTAGAAATATTTTATGATTTTTTTCTTAATTAAAAGTTTTAATCTTATTCTTAAAACGTATATAAAAAGAATTATTACCTTGATGGCTTCAGCTAAGATGCCACCCCTTAATCTGTAATTTTCATCTGTTTCTAGGCGTCGTATCTTTACGAAACCGATCATGGCGGCTTTTTCTACGCACGAGTGAGCCTAAAATGAAAAATAATTGTTGAAAATTTATAATATTTTTTTTAAGCAATTATTTCTAAAATATAGAAGAAGAGATATATAAATATACATACTTCTTGCGAAGTGTAAGCTACTAATTTCGATAACAAAATCGTTTCATCTACTTTTGGATTTTGTTGTTTTAACTCCTTCAGTTTCTTATGACGTGCCGCTAGAAGACAAACTAAAACACATTCACTGGCCGAACCCTATTTAAAAAATTTTAAATTAACTTCATGCATATTTACTTTATTATAGGCTATATTTAAAAGAATAAACATCAAAGTTTTCTGTAGATTTACCTGTATGACACCACCGCCTAAGCTATCAGAAGAAAATAAAAATTCATCCTGTAATCCTAGCATTTTACCTATATGAAAGTTTAAAAAAATAGTTAAATTATTTATTTAAAAAAATCCACAGTATCTACTTATAACAGTTCATTTAAAAATCCTACCAATCCAATTCATCATTACAACTTCCAATTCAGTAAAAGCGGGGCAGGCAACCTATACGAATTTTTAATTAAAAAAATTATTTAATATTTTATTAAAAGTTTCAATGAAAGAATTAAAAGGAAAATAATCAGCTAATATAACTCACCCAACTAAATCCAACAGCTCCAAAGGCTGATGCTAACATATCTCCCAGTATTGAAGGATAGCTGTTACCACAAGGAAAATAAGCGTGGAATTGAGGATGCTGCCAATGGGTAATCTATCGAAACAAATGTATTTTTTAAAAAAATTATCAATAAAGACTATTCGAGCGTTGGTTTAATGTGTTTAAATTAGGCTACTTACACCGGGCATGATGTAATTTTGTACATCCGCCATAATTTTTGCCCAATCTTCTCCATCTTTAGGTGCCGATTCTGGTAGATAAGTGGTAAGATATCCCGGTTCCACATCTGCTTTAACGCGTAAAGTGTGAACGTTTTGTCTATAGCTAACGATACATTCGGCAAGTTGTTTGCTCCTAAGTTGAAATTCTAAAGAGTCCATAGCTAAATATTAAAAAAAATTTCAATTATAAAAGGTTAATTAATTAATAAAATAGTATAATACTTATTCTAGTCCATTGGTAATGTATAATGCTTACCTGTCTAGTCTACTAGTACAATACAACTTGAAGAATACTATTACTTGTGTACGTATGCTTAAATGGTATTTTATATATATTATGGCTGCATAGGTAAACGTGACGTTGCATGACGTTGAAGTGTGACGTTACGCAGGATATATTGAGTAAAGAAATTAAAGAGAAATCGAATGTAAAAATCTGTAAGAGCGGAAATGGAATTTTCCAAGGAATACTTTCCGAGGTAAAGTTACAATTTAAAAAAAAAGTAAGTAGTATAAAATTTATAAAACATGTATAAATATAGACGAAAAATTAAAGGTTTTCCGTAGTTTTTACGAACATTTCAAAGTTATGTCGGGAAGAAAATGCGAGTCATTTCAAACGTCATAAAGGATGAAGGATTATCTACAGTCTACAAATAAACATTTTTAATCATTAAATTCTATCTAATTCTATGCAACGTCGAAAAAGTTTTCCATTGAAAATAGTGGAAGTCGATACGCTAATAGAATGGCAACAAGCCCTACTCGTTGAAGTTTTCCCGCGTCAACCCCGCTAAGTTGTCAGAAATAATTCTGGCTGGCTTTTGATAAGTTGCACAGCTGTTTGCCATCTTAGGATTTCTGAATAGTGCACTCGTTTCTTCACCATTATATTCGGAAAATCTATCCCACCAAACTAACCCATTGGCAGTACACGAGAGACAAGCAACCCAACTAATTACCCTTCTTAATTCCCTAATTTTATTTTCTTAGACTTTCGACTTTTCTAAAGGGGGGAGGGGGTTTTAAAAATCTTCTCAAAAGTTGAAAAGTGTAGATTTTTCTATCATTAAATACAATCAAAGTATCGACTTTTTACTGACAAATACTGATCGGTTGACTGGCCACTGATTGGAGAATAGTTCAAAAAACGAAAGAAGGTTGAGAAGAAAAAATCAAAGTCTGGGTTACAGTTAATGAGGCGTGAAACAGTTACTCTACAGATCCCTTGTCACCTCCCGTTTTGGAGTGTATGGCTCCATGGCTCTTCCTAGGGATAGTGGACGATGGATCTGATAAAGATGGAATTACGCTAACCATAACCTTAGTTAAATTGACTCGATGAGAAAAATAAACATAGCATTCGGCACCACATTACACCTGGGCAAATAGCCTAAATGCTTTGGTTTCCATTTGTAGAGCCGCGCCGGAGAATGCCAGTCCGATTTAATTAATTGATAGATTGCTGGGGATTAAAGAGGGGGCAACCACACCACGGACAAAGAAAGGGGGAATAATACACCTTTAATGAATTCTTCGATAGCGATCCGGCAAGGAAAGGGCATTTAACATTTTATTCCACTATCCGTTAATTGTTGATTTTACTCTTTTAACCTTCATTTATATAATCCACATTAACGTATCGGCCTCATTTTTTCCTCTCCCTCTTCTCCTTTTTTTTTTTCGAGTCATACATGGTTTAACTTTTTAAACAAAATTCTTATCTGTTTCATTAGCATTTACTTACTACCAAAGATGTGTAAGGCATAATTTTTAAAAGCGAAAGCATAATTAAATAACTTAAAATGTCGAAGGAAACACTAAAATGCATTACAATTTTTGGAGAATGGAAAAATAGCGGTCCTCAATGTTTCGAATTAGCAGTTCTATGAGTTCTTAGGTGAGGCCATCAATACACGTCAAAAGATTGGTGAAGACCCAACCTCCAAGAAAGCTGCTGGAACTGTGCCAAGTCAGCTGTGCATATATGAAATGCCGCCGTTCTTAAGTACTGTGACTGGCTTGGAGTTTTTCCAGTGTTTTTCGAGAGTAACAGAAAATCAGTGACGACAACAGTTCATGAAACACAGTCCAAATTACATCTGTATTTTCCCACTCTTCTATTTTTAAAAATACCGTTATAACCGAGCGTATCTTGGTTCTATAACTAAGGCTACTGACCCGATTAGCAACCTTGTCAAAACTATCAGCTATTTGTTGCTAATTGCATGGTAAAAATGAAGTTATTTAAGTCTTCTTCTTCCCTTCCCCCTTTCGTTCGTCTCCCCTTCTCTCCGTGGATAAATACATTACAAATTCGATAAAATGGTAAACAAAACTCCATGTATGGATGGAAAAGAAAATCGAATTTGTCCATGCAAATTAATATTTGTATAAATTGATGATAATTATATTCATTTATCGTAAACAAATAAATTTTTGATAGCTACGAGTTAATATGGCGTCATTTTTGTTTATTTTTCTTTTATTTATTCGCTTTTCGCTTTACATTTTTAGTTATATACGTATTTAAATTAGTAAATCAAAGTCTAAATTTTGGACGAGTAAAAAAATCGGATTTAAAAATCGTCCAATCAAAATTTAGACTAAAAAATTTTAATTTCTGCTCAGATTTAAGGATTTAAAAAAAAAAATTAAAACTTGAATTATTAAGCCAAATTAAGGTAAATTTAAAACTAAATTTGGCCTAATTTAAAGAAAGAGAATTAAATCGAAAATTTTAATTTCGAACCCCCTTTTAAATGCCT